TCTCTACCAAATAAATAAATAGATCTTTAAAAAATAATTTAAAAAATAAAAGAAACCATTAGGACAAGCTGTTTTCCTCCATTCTCAATGGCTTAACAGCTTTAATCAACTTTGACTATTTCTAAATTCCAGGCATGTACTTCAACAATTTCATTATTTTTTCTTCTTTATTCATAGTATACTTTCTAGCAGTAAGTAGAACTAAGTCCTAATAAAAGTATTCATTAACAAAACAATTTAAAATAAAAATTACTAGTGAATCAATATTTAGATGACCTACACACATCCAAAAATAGCACCTCTCCATGATGAGATTAACATTTAATATATTTAAAAACTTGGGACATAAACTCACATTTCATCCACAATATGGGAGGGAGAGTAAATAATGTGATTCTTGTCCCCATTCATACCTTATAAATTGTTACAATTTTTAGCTCATCATTGGTCTGATTTGGTAAATCACAAGGATTTGTGATTCAAAAAGAGAAAAAAATCTTTCGTGAGTTCTAGCACATTTCAGAATGAAATAACTAAGACTCATTTTTGGATAAACAAAGTCTCTAATTGCTTTGTATTATCTTTCTTTGTTTATTTTTGAGAATGAGAGAGTGCCTGCCTGTGGTGGGGGTTGGGAGGGCACAGGGGGAGAGAGAAGATCTTAAGCAGGCTCCACACCCAGTGCAGAGCTCCACATGGGTGATCTCATAACCCTGAGATCATGACTTGAGCCAAAATCAAGAGTCAGAGCCTTGACCAACAGAACCACCAAGGTGCCCTGCCTTGTGTTATCTTTAAAGGATAGATACCATCTTGCAGTGAAAATTACTGAGGCAGGGCTCCTCAACCCTGGTGGGAAGACAGTCAAGAAGCCCATCACCTGTGGTACCCTCTCCTCATGCTGCATTACACACATGCTTAAGTGCTTCCTAAGAACTGATTTATGAAAACTGTTTTGGCATCCTGGATAAGACAAGCTAAAACCTACATTAATTAGAAATACGACACAAGAGTTGTGTGTTCCCATAAATGCATAAAGAGGACAATTGATGAAAAAAGGTAGATGCCCTTAATATTTGGTAGATAATGCTCATTAAAAGGTTATTCCCATCTAAACCCAGGAGGGAACAGGGAATGGGAAATGTCAGACACAGAGACAAGAAGACCAAGAACCTCAAAGAACAGTAGACCTTCTAATTTATTTAAAGTTCTGAATAAGATATTGGAAATACAGGGAAGATTCCTTATTAGAAGGGGGACCTCATTGGAGGGCCTGGGTGGCTCAGCCAGTTAAGTATCCAACTCTTGATTTCGGCACAAGTCATGAGCTCAGGGTCCTGAGATGGAGCCATGTTGTGTTAGGCTCTGCGCTCAGTGGGGAGTTTGCTTCCACCCTTCTCCCTCTGCCCCTCTCCACCCTCCTCTCTAAAATAAATAAACAAATCTTTAAAAAAAAAAAAAAGGAGACCTCATCAAGGTAAAACTTAGAATATATAAGAGAACTACGATGTGTTAAACGGAAATAGGACAGCAACAGAGAAAGATGAGCTGGTCCAAGGATCAGGATGTGGTGGCAGATTCAAAGGAGAGCCAGTTCCTGGGAGAGGGTGCAGTGTCTCTTTCAGAGTTTCCTCCTAACCCAGTGGTGAACAGTGACCAGAAGACTTGCACAACCCTGACATAGCCCCATCACATGTGATCATAGATGTACCCATGGTAAGGTACACATTAGAAAGTAGATGAAAGGTACACTAGGCAAGGGTCATGCAGAGAAGGGGCAGTACAGGGGGCAGTACAGAATGCCAGAAGTTAGCATCAATCCACTAAGGAGGGAAGTAACAAAAAATTATTTGAGGAATGTAAGGCACCAATTTATTTTCTATTTTACAACACTGAAGTCAACACCATTAACCATAAGAGATATGAAAGATACAGAGTATCTTGTTTACAAGTAAAGAAAAGTGAGAGTTTTAAAGCAGTTTATTTCTTCCCAAAACAATTCTTAGTGGTCACTAATTTATGCTCTCTAAAGAAATAAAAATTAGGGATTGTTCAGGATTGTTTTATTACTCTTTGCTGTATTATCTACAGATTTAAAATATCCTTCCTTCTGTCTCCCACCCAGGCTGGGGTAGGGTCTAGCCCACTACCATTTGAGGTTTATTCCTTTAAATTCAGCACTACCCTTGTTGTCCTCTCCTCTCTGTCTTCTATGTGCCTCTAAGAAATGTATTAATGTATTAAGCCCTTAAGTGTGAGCCCTTAGATAGAGGCTTTCAAACTTTTTACCACAATCCACAGTTAATTATATTTACATCTGGAGCCAGTACACACCAAAAAAAACAACCAAAAAAACCCCCTACAAAACCCACACAGAAGCTCCTCACAACTTGTAACCTTACTACATGTGATAAACTGAACTTTTCAATTCTACTCCACCTTTTTTTTTTTTTTTTTAATGCTGCTAACCCAGCTGTTAGGTCATAGCTCACAGTTTGAAATATTTAGAGATAAGGTACACTGACACATCAAAATAACAACATGAGAAAGTAGGTAAGAGTTCCACATTCAGGCTGTCTGAACTCAAATACCAGCCCTACCACTTGAAGCTGTTAACCTCTCTCCTTCAGTTTCCTTGTCATGGGGTTAAAAGAACAGTGTTTACCTCAAAACAAAGATTAACCAAGATCTTCTGCATAAAGCAGTTAAAACATAAAAAAGTATTCAGTTAACGGCTAGTATAATTCTTAAATGGCCTGTGGACTCTTTTTATTGTGGTAAACTATACATAAAATTTATGCATAATAAAATTTTTGTGTAAATTTTATAAAATATAAATATAAATATAAAATAAAAATTTATGTATAATAAAATATGTATTATAAAATTTATCACTTAAAAAATTCATTTTAGGGGTGCCTGGGTGGCTCAGTGGTTTGAGCCTCTGCCTTTGGCTCAGGTCATGATCTCAGGGCCCTGCAATCGAGCCCCACATTGGGCTCTCTGTGTGGTGGGGAGCCTGCTTCCCCCACTCTCTCTCTGCCTGCCACTCTGCCTACTTGTGGTCTTTCTCTTTCTCTCTGTCAAATAAATAGAAAAAAAATTCATTTTAGCCATTTTGAGGTATACAATCCAGTGGCATTTAATATACTCACAATGTTGTGCAAACACCACTATCACCACTCTCTAGTTCAGAACATTTTCATCACCCCAAAAAGAAACCCATTAAGCAGCCACTCCCCATTCTATCCTCCTCCCCAGGCCCTGGCAACCCTTAATCTGCTTTCTGTATCTAGGTCCATGCACTTTTGAAGTAATAAGTTAACAGGTGTAAAACCATTTTCTAAGGTAGATTGAAGTGTTCTTTGGATTCATTAGCCCTATGGCTCATAAGACAAACTTATGCTCACCATTTGTTTAAATAAACCTTGTGAATCACTTTAGGTAATTTTGTGACCTTTCTGGGAGTCAGAAATACCTCTCTCCTGTGAATTTGGCCAAGATTCCCAAAGTCTGACCCATGTTATGAAGGGGACTGCATTCAGTATCCACAAGAGGCAGAATGAGTAAGTCCCTAAAAGAGGTTTCTTCATTACATTGTGGAATGTTACAAAATGATCGAATATTCACCAAATGAAGACTGCTTATTCTTCAGTCTTTGCAGTTTGAAATTCGGCTTTTCAGTCTCTGACCTGTTACCATCAAGAGGTAAAAAAGAGAACTTGGACACAGAACTAGGACTTTCTTGGCTTTAGTATGCAGTATTATTTCCTTTTGGAGCCCCACCCCTCTCACACTGATTTCCCACCCTTCCTCTGGGGTGTGGAAGACCGAGCAAAAATAACTTAGCTCTTCCCGGGATCTATAAGGGGAGTCGCCGGACTCGCCATCAAGAAAATAACAGGGGCAGGGAAGTTACCTTGCAAAGCAACACTGTTCTTTGAGACACGATGAAGGTAGAGGTTTCTTAGGCCAAATAAATAAATGTCACCAAGAGGCACCAAAGATTTAAGCTGGAAAACATCTTTGGTCCCAGTTGCAGAAGTCAGAAGCTTTCGTTCTCTTTTTTGTAAAGAACAGCACCATTCGCCCAGCAATTAGGCAGCTAAGTCCTCATTTTCCATTCTCCCTCCCCCATCCCCTACAGCTTTCCAACCTTCTGGGTGAAAGTCTGACCCGCCTCAGGCACGGATAACATTGGGCAAACCCAGCTTAGAGGTACTCCAATTCGGGGTCCCAGAGCCCAGCGAAACTTCCCGACTCCCAGGGAGTCAGTTAATTGATTTTGAGCTTTTAGAATGGGGACGGGGGCTTCAAACAGCAAAACGTCACGCCTCAAACTCTGGGCAAGACCATGCCCTGAGCTGGGCCAAATCCTGGGAAAGTCCTGAGATGGGAGTTAACTTGCAGTGGACCAAAGAGAATTAGAACTATCCCCAAAACCCCGGTGCCCTAGCAAGTCAGTCGAGCGTGCGGGTCTCCGAGTCTGCCACAAAGAATCACCCCTGCGCTCCAAGCAGACCAAGCCAAAGCTTCACCCCAGAACTATCAAAAAATTAGACCTCGAGAAGAGGGACGACCTAGGAAGAGCTCCCTTCCACGAGCGCCAGGCGATCCTAATCCTGGCAAGTCTGGGTTCGGCACGTGCTTCAGGCATCCGGCCCTGGGCGCTCGGGCGACAGGGCCTCCAGCCCCCCACCTGGCAGTTAGCTCAGTGACCGCTGTCCCCGCAACCCGAGGCTCAAGGAGAGGGCTGCGCGCGGGACCGGGAGGACCCCGTAAGGACAGCTGAGCCGGACGCCGCGCACAGGGCCCTCGCCTGGGCGGGACAGCGGGGCCAGGGCAGAAGGTGGGGTTTGGAAGTGACAGCACTCCATCTTCTGCCAAGAGTGAGGCAACTCCGGAAACTTCCCCGAGCCGACGCGCGCCTCCCGCGGCCACCTACTCCGTGCCCGCAAGCCGGAGCGGCCCGCGCCCACGACGCCGGCGGGCGCACTGACCTGAGATGGTCTCCTGGTAGCCCTTGGTGAAGAACTGCATGGCTGTGGCCGCCCTCCAGGGCGTCTTGAGCAGTCCCTGCCGCTGGGGGTCCTCGCCCAGCGAGCGCAGGATAGACGAGTAGGCGGCCGCCAGGTTGGGGAGGTTCAGCTCATTATCCTCCTCGCTGCGCGGCCGTTCGCCCTTCCAGCCGTCCGCCGGCTGGACGCTCTTGGTCTCCGGCCGCGGCGGCTTCTCGGCCGGCCCGCTCCGCCCGGATCGCGGCGGCTCCCCTTCGGGGAACCCATTGCTGCACCTGGCGCCCCGCGGCTTCGCGGGCGCCCGCACCGGACCCTTCTCCATGGACCCGCCCGCTGCCGCTCCGGAGGGACTCTGGGACGCTTCGGGGACTGACACTCAATCGCGCCGGCGGCCGTAGGCAATGGGCTGTGGCCAGGATCACCTGAGGAAAGTAGGCGACCGGCCAGGGACACCTCCTCCGCCAGGGACAGTGGCAGGCTGGAGAGCGCGGCCGTGCCTCCTTTTTATCTGCTGGCGGCTCGGCCGGCGCCGCGGGGCGTTCCCATTGGCCGGAGCCTCCGCGCGTCAGGCGCTCGCCCCGCCCCCTCGCCTGTCCTCGGCTGGGCTCCTCACAGGGGCGGCCCCGGGGGAGGGGCGCGCGGGGGGGATGGACCCCGCGAGCTGCGGAAAGTCCCCCGCCAGGGGCGGTGAAGCGGCCTCGCTGGGGACCCCTCCGGCGCCAGCCGGGAGGAAGGGGTGGACCACTCGGGCTGTTGCAGTGTGAACCGAATCCGAAAGGAGGCCGGCGTCGGGTGCTGGAACCTTGGCGAGGGGGGCATGCTCTGCGCGCACGGTCAGCCCTCTCCTAGACGAGGAAAACGCTGCTTCAGAAGTGCTCTGGTCCCCTCGCTCTGCAAAAGATGACCCAACAGGTGGCCTCAAGGGGAAAAGACTGTGGGTAAGGAAACCAACTCCTATGCTTTTGGGGCAAGAGAATAATATGACACGAAACTCCTGCGTTGGTTAGTTAAAAATTGTCCCACGCACCTGCCACCTACGAGAACCCTCTCTCTGCTCCGAGGGAGAGTGTTACACCAAGTGGTCCTCGCGTGAGTCTCTATCTAGGACGATGGTGTTTGTGAGGGTCTGGAGAAAAATTGATTTACAAGAGAAGAAAAGTTAGGACTTTGATTAGAAACCCATTTGTGCTCTGGGGAAATTTGGTACTGATCGTTTTAGAGTGACGTGCTAAGCTCGCTCCTTTCCGCTAGTGTTGGTACAAATTGTGAAACGTTATTGATCAGCTGGATTCGTAACCAGGGACATCTGCTTTGACGTGTTTTCCTTAAGATTAAAAAAGGGGCTTTTTTTTTTTTAAATTGGCTGTTTTCCTCACTTGAGGAATTATTTCATAATGCCAAAGGTAAGTTTTAAAACACGAATCAAATTAATAACGTATGATTTGCTGCAGAAGGTTTCTAATGCTGACTTTCTGACATATATACAGATATTAAAAAGCTTCAGATCATACAAACCAGGAAAGAAGCCCCTGAAATCGTTCCATACGCATATAGTCATTGTAATTACTAATTAGTATCTATTGTATCTATTAGTATCTATTGAATATCTGCTCCAGACATAGCCCTGTTCTAAGCATCAAGGAAAGAGATACAGAAATTCCTCGGCCACCTTGGCATCTTTAGTCTAAAATAGAAGTGTTTCCGGATCTTGGGTGGCTCAGTGGGTTAAAGCCTCTGCCTTCAGCTTAGGTCATGATCCCAAGGGCCTGGGATCCAGCCCCACATCAGCAGGGAGCCTGCTTCCCCCTCTCTCTCTGCCTGCCTCTCTGTCTGCTTGTGATCTCTGTCTGTCAAATAAATAAATAAATAAATAATCTTTTAAAAATAAATAAATAAAATAGAACTGTTCTTGCCAATGTGGTTTTTAAAGATAGTTATTGAATTTCTATATGCATTAAATACCAAACTACATAAATCAAGAAATATGACCATCCCTTGGGCTCTTTGTTAGTCTGCTAACATTTTTGTGAGTTTTTTCCCCCTCAGCAAGATCCTGCAACATTTTTTCCCTATAACTGCACTGTCCACTGTCCACTGGTATTTTCTGGTCAGAGTTATCCACTGGGTCTCAAACTGTTTCAGCATAGTTGGAGACAACATTACAGAATGGCTTTGTTTTAGCAAATGAAAACAAAGACACCAAGTGAGGTACTTTTAAAAGAGGAAGGATTCCATGGAGACATTTTCAATAAGATTTTTTAGTGGCAATCTTGTGCCTACCTTTAAAAGCATTTGTAAACATTAACTACTGTTCTCTAAAGACAATTTCTAATTAAATTTTTACCCTAAAAATTAAATTTTCTTATAAACACTGCCACTGAGGCATCAGCACTTTTGTTACCAAATAGTGCAAAGTCTCTGGATTTGTTCTATGAAATATTTACTTGTTAAATGCAGACAGTGCCTTTCAGCCAAATGCCGGAAAGTAATACAAGGAAGCTTTACAATCACCATTATAGACACAGTTTAACAGTGAAATGTAGGTTGTTGGTGAGGGTAGTTATAAGTAGAAATGAGAGAAGAGGGAGGAATAAACTAAAATAAGAGGGACATATTCCCCAGAATTTATTAGCACAAATTATTTCAACAGTACAACTATGAGCTTTCACAGTCAGAAATTGTAATGGCATCTAGGTTTTCTAATCCAGTAAGGGACCCATTTTCACCTTGGACCCAACCTGGGAATTGCTTTCTATCAAAAACCCAAGGAATTTTTTTTTAATTCTCCCATTTTTAGGAGAGTAGTAGAACAGAGAGCAGATGAGTAAGATACACAAAGATTGAGTAGTGCAATGCTTTAGAAATATATAGTCACTTACCAAGGGTAACAGGTAAACTAACCTTAGGCATTTGGCAATTTTAACTGGAAAAAAGTAAATTTCTTTAAATGCACTAGATGAAGATTTTATATTTGAGATTCAAACTTAAGAGGATATTCTTGATTAAGGTGGAAAGATGAACAAGAGAAGTGTCATCATTCCGCTCCTAACTTCCAGAAGTAGGACTATGAAGTCAATACAATCCTGAGATGTCTCACTAAATCCCCCAAATGTCAGGGGAAGCAAACTAAATTGAGGCCCTTATCTTTTTTCTCCTCTGACTGAGGAGGAATGGAACAACGTTTGGAGAGAAAAATGGAACATTGATCTGATTCTCTGAGATGGAAAGGAATGATCAACAGCTCTATACTGAGCTGAGGAAGGTGTCCACAGCCCAAAATTACTTCACAAGGGAAGGGTAGATGTACGCCAAATGTCACATGTCCCTGGCAGAGGATCTTAAATCACCTCAAAAGAACTAGCATGTGCTAAAAAAGAGGGATACTAATGAAGAGTGTGCTCTATGACAGATGAACACCATCCCAACCTTCACAGTCCCTCAACCATATATCACAGTCATATATCATAAGCATATAACACAGTAACCTCAACCCCCAAACTGTAGCAGAGTCAGGAAAGCAAATGAGCTTCCACAGTAATGGGAACACAAAGAAGTCATCCTCAATAATATTATGCATGGATGGAACAGAGAAACAGCATGGCAACCAGAGCAAACATACAATAGCCAAACAAACAAAACTAAACAATGGTGGAAATAATATACCATATAGAAGACACGAAGACAAAGAATGCAGCTGAGTAAGAAATAAAGCTCATGGAACAAAAGAAAATTCCTCACAAATGTTTTATGCTACAAAACAACTTAAAAAATATGAGTTCAGTATGATAAAAAAAACCGAGATAATAGAATAATAAAATTGAAAAAGGAGTTACAGATTTAAGGAAATGAATTGAGAACCATCATTATTATGGAATTTCTTAAAAAGAACCATGTATAAAATAGATACTGCAGAAAATGTAATTACTGACATGAAGAAAGCAGGTGAATGAATGCAGAGTAAGAGAGAAAGATGAAAACTTTTAGAGAAGACAAAGATGATCCAGCATAAGAATAATTAGGGTTCCAAAGATAGAGAACACAACAAATGAGAGAGAATGTAGTCAAAGATATAATACAAGCATATTTCTGTACCAGAAAGAAACCCTTATATTTATATGCAATTGATTTTCAACAAGAGTGTCAAGACAATTAAATGGGGTAAAGAGTCTTTTCAACAATTGGTACCAAGGTAAATGGACATCCTCTTGCATGTAGTAAAAAAAAAAAAAAAAAAAAAAAAAAGAACCTGGGGTGGGGATTGGTGAAATAGGTGAAGGGGATTAAAAGGTATAAACTTCCAGTTATAAAATAAATAAATCATGAAGACAAAAAGTATAGCCTAGGGAATGTAGTCAGTTAAATTCTAATAGCATATAGTGACAAATGTGACTACACTTATTACGGTGAGTTCTCTATAATGAATAGAATTGTTAATTCACTATGTTATACACCTGCAGCTAATATAACATTGTATGTCAACTATAATTAAAAAAAAGAAAGAATTTGGATCACTATCGCACATCATATACCAAAATTAAGTCAATTAGATCAAATACCTAAACATAAGAGCCAAAATTATAAAATTCTTAGAGGAAAACATAGGCATAAAACTTCATGTCCTTGGATCACCCAATTAGGTTTCTTAGAAATGACACCCAAAATGGAAGTAACTAAGGAAAAAAGAAAAGATAAATTAAATTTCACCAAAATTTAAAATTTTTGTGCTTCAAAGGACACTGTCAAAAAAGGGAAAATATAACACAGAGAATGGAAGAAAATATTTACAAATAATGCATCTGATAAGGGACTAGTATCTAAAATACATAAAGAACTCTAGGGCTGCTGGGTGGCTCAGTGCGTTAAGCCTCTGCCTTTGGCTCAGGTCATGATCCCAGGGTCCTGGCATCAAGGCCCACATTGGGCTCTCTGCTCAGCAGGGAGCTTGCTTCCCCCACCCCCTTCCTGCCTCTCTGCCTACTGTGATCTCTCTCTCTCTTTCAAATAAATAAATAAAATCTTAAAAAAAAAAAAAAGAACTCTAACAACTCAATAAAAAGACCAAAAACTGATGGGCAGTAATTCAGTGGACAAAAGAACTGAATGGACGTTTTCCCAAAGATATACATAGTCAAGAAGCACATGAAAAGATTCTCAATGCTATTAGCCTTCGCAGAAATGCAAATTAGGGTATGAGTGAATACTGCCTCACAACCCCTAGGACAGCTGTATTCAAAAAGATGATAACAATTGTTTCTGAGAATGTGAAGATATTGGAATTCTCATACACTGCTAGTGGGAATATGAAACAGTGTATCTGCTTTAGAATATGGTCTGCAGTTCCTCAAAAAGTTAAACATAGAATTGCCATATGACCCAGCAATTCCACAGGAAGTAGAAACCTAGGAGTAAAAAAACCCACAAAACTTGTACATGAATGTTCATAGCACCATTATTCATAATAGCCA